TATTATGTACTTTCTTTTATTCTATAAATTGTGCAATTCAAGAATGCATAACTAACTCATATAAATAAATTAATAAAATTTTAAAACAAAACAAATGGCCATTGGTACCACTCCACCGAAGGAATAAGATGGTAAAATCATTTTCTGGGTTGTTAGGTATACATATTCATTCTTAGCAAAACCTATTCCCTACACCAAATCCATAAATACATAAACCCAAGGATAAAGAAATAAAAGTATCTATAATTCTTAAATGAATTCTTAACTTTCTAAATTGCACAAGCTAGGCCAAACTTTTACTTATATAGTAGCAGATGGACATTCGAATTTTCCCCAAAGTAACTGAAAGAAATTACAATATTTTATATTAATCAGAAGGAGAGACATGAACAATTTTAGTTTCTATACATTTTCCTTGTGCCCCTTGGTAGGATCTAATTTTAGCAAAAACCTAACATATTTAATTACTAAATGTAATTTAGTACAGAATGTACTAAATGTAAACGTACAGAAAAGATTTAAAAATTATCCTTCATATCCCAGTCTCAACAGTGATTAATGTAATTTTATTTAGCCAACAAAAAGAAAAAATCTTCCATATATAAGCATCCAAATACCATTTTCTGGATCAGTGAGTAAATAAAGCTTGTTAGAGCAAACTTAATTATTGCACACTGTGGTGTAAGATAAATTGTGTTGTGATCAGCACAAAATATCACCAACTACAATCACAAAATTTTGATACTCAAGTGCAAACTGTGTTCAAGTTTCAAAATTCTAAAATTCTGTAAATGACACTGCTATACAAGTAAATAATGAAGAAAAATAAATAGAGTTTGAAATGAATAAAAACATACAAGGAAATTTGGTGATGCAGTTATAAGATCAGAGTATAGTGAGTTCAGAATTATGACCAGAGCCAACTCTTCTACCTGAATGTCCATATACTACTCAAACATTAGCAATATTTAGATCCCAAGAATTAATGCAATGATGTGTAAGATATTGACTGACTCAAGTAGTAACTCAGCTGAACTCATACCCTGAGATGTTCCAACAAAAAAGTTACATAATGTTTTGGAAAATTCTTATTTAATACTATCAGCAGGTAGTACCTTTTAAATGTGTGTATATATGTTCACATACGTAAAACATACACATGCACATACATAATTTATACATACATGGACTCCACTGACCAAATAAATGGAACACTGGTAGTTTAAAACTGGTAATTCGTACTATAACATATTCATAAAATAAAATTTAATTTGTTACCACTATAATTTTTTTAAAACTCTGATATTTATAGGTACCTTGAAAACTGACAATTTTTATAATGCATAGGCAAAAATTAAACTCTAAAACATGTTTATGTTAATTATTTTTTCATTTAAGGTTATAAAAGTAAAATAAATCATATGCCCAAATGAAAATTCTCCATAAATGCTTCAGAGATCCTTCAGGTATGAGAAAGATGGTTTTATACTGACTATTAGGTGAAGTAAGAAAATATTAAAGTACTAATCATTTATTTTTCTTAGCAGTGGTTTCAATTTCAAATCTTCTTTTTTCATTGGCATATCTTGAAAAACTGGTTTGAATAGTGAAGTAAACTTTTCTTTGTGGTGGGAAGTTCTTCCTAATAACTTCAAATGAAAGAATTTCAGTAACAGACATAAGTCAAATGTAAGAGAGTCAAGGCAATTATTCAGAAGACCGGAGCAAGAAACCTTGCTACCCAGGAAATGAATGAAGGTGTTAGGTTTGTGTTACTTCCAAGTACTAATACTTAACTAATTTGACAGCAACTGAACTAAATTGACCATACACTGCAAGTATTATAGGATCTTATGGAATGGGCCAATTTCAGTCAGGAATTTTGTCCACAGTATAGACTACTCCTACACAGTCAGCTGCATCAGGAATGCTCTATATAGGTGATAAGTTGGCTATTAAACAGGTAGAAGAACTAAATTTATATGGCACAGTCTGGCTCAACATTGGGAAAGAAATGGCTTGAGTGTTGACTAATGAGTTGTTAAAGATTGTGCTCATAGACACAGACAACACTATAGTGATTTCCAGGGACAAAAGGCAGGTAGGGGGAGAAGGAAGAGGGTAAAGGGGGATAAATGGTGATGGAAGAGGACTTGACTTGGGGTAATAAACACACAGTACAATATAAAGATGATGTATTATAGAATTGTACACTTAAAACCTATATAATTTTATTAACCAGTGTCTCCCCAACAAATTCAATAAGAACTTTTTAAAAAGATTGTATTTATATAAATTCTTTATGGTTCTATAGTGAATGAAACAGATACATAAAAATAGTAAATTCATTTTAATGACAAGGCACCTACCAAAATGTCTTGAGTTTTAGCAGTCTAAACAATCAAAGAGCTACAAATATTCTAACACTTGGCAAGAGGGGGATGGTAGGAAATCTTAAATAGGTTTCACGGCACTTAAACTTTGCTAACTTGACTATCTATAGTAATAGTTGTGAATTTGTAAACAGAATCGTCACCTCACTGTGAATGAAGTAGATGAAGATCTGCAGCACGATTGAGAGGGGAATCTAAACCATCAAATATAAATTTTAGTAAGAAATACAAAGTAACAATAGCAGATGTATATTTAGATAATATAAATCTATCATATGGCACTTCAGATGTGCTTTGATGAGGATAGCTATGATTGTTCCAAGCAACAAGTTATTTTTTATTTAAATTTTACACTACTTTTACTAAAAAGAAAACTTTCTTGTAGAATAGAAAAAAAAATCATTCTTAACAAAACCTTAAATACTAATGCATTTTAAAAAGTGTAAATTAACTTGTACAATTGATACTATGAATTGATTTTTTTAGTAGTTCCCCATTATTCCCAGTTGTTATAATTGTTATTTTAAGTGTTAGTTTTATTTACCGATTAATATAATAGAAATCACACTGCAAATTTGTGAAATGGATAACTTACAGAGTCATGCTACTTTTTCATACTGAATATAGAAAAAAAATATCAAACTTCAAAATTTACCCTGTTAATGTTTGCACCTATATTTACATGACCTGGAATAATTGATTTAGTTCACTGACAGCACTAATGAATCTACTGAACACATATCCAGTTGATATGGATGTTTAACAGGTAGCCAGAAACCAGTGTGAAGGTAAATAGAAAACCCTGGAGAAAATAAAGTAGGGGGATGGGGCCAAAGAGATGGTGTGCTATCATGAGAAAGGATGGATGCAATGAAAACAGGAAAATACTATTTCTCCCATTTTTCAGTTTTCCTAAGGGCATGATAAGTGGCAAGTACTTCCCTTTCCACTGGCGATGATCTTCTGGGTGGTCCTTCTTAGGAGCACTATAAAGTACTGACACCTATTCTACTGCTTTTTATTTTATAGTAAAGATACAGTTATTTTTGCATCTACAACACTTTACAAATCTTTTGTAAATACTATGATTTTAAAGCTGGGAGGAAATTAGAAAACCAACCACTTAATCTAACTAACCACTCATTTTGTTGATGGGGGACCTGAGGTCAAGAGAGGCTATGATTTCGTTTCTAATCTACATAAATATATTGTGACTAAAAGGTTTAGACATACTGTACCTACTGTTATGAAAAGCAAGAGACAAACATACATAAGAAATGCTTTAGAAACACAAAGAAAAGGTTACAAAAAAAGAACTCTGCACTGAGAACTGCTAGAGACCTATTCTGGTGTTGGTAAGAAATTCTGCACTGAACAGTGAAGGGATTCCAAGACTGGAACAGGGAAAAGACACTAATGCTGACAGTGTAAATAAGTAATCTTTATAAACAAAAAAGTATATACAAAGTTCTTAGCAAGTATATGTTATATCTCGAAAATCCATTAAAATGAAAAATGTAAAGCTTCTCATACTATTTTCTAACATTGGCTTCTACCTCTATATTATAAGGACAAATTATATGTTAAGATGATAAAAAGGGGGTGCTTGTGCTTATTTCAAATCCCCGGGCTCCTTTTACACAGCACATCTGCAATATCTATTCCACTGCTGCTTTAGACAGGTAGTTCTAAGTGACTGCGATCTTTTATATGCTCAGCTGAGGTGAAAACAGAGAGGTCAGGTTGCAGAGTTTGATGATACTGAATTCTTCTACACAGCTTTCTACGACTATTTCTGTGGCATCATTTCAATACATTAAAATAACCTGTTTCAAAATAAATGTACTTACTAAATTTTAAAGCTTGAAAAGTCAAATGTGTTCCTAAGATACCGTTTGCTCATAGCAATGATCAGAGCCAATACAGATATTGTTTTCATTGAAATTACCTAGTTCATTGTTTCCCAAAGTATCTCCCTGGCAGAAAGCAAAATGGCTTTACATATGGCACATGGGTAAACATTTTTAATTTACTTTTAAAGAATGACTTTTAATATACATTAGAAAAATGTGTTGTTTTCTACTTTAAAAGTAAATATTTAAAATATACATTCAGTAAATAGTAGTATGGGTAGCATGTAAATATGACCAAATTTAAAGTCTAAAACCCAGTAGGGGTGTCCAACCTTTTGCCGTCTCTGGCCACACCAGAAGAAGAGTTGTTTTGGCCATACATTAAATACACTGCAACATGTAATCTCTCTCTCTCTCTCTCTCTCTCTCTCTCTCTCACACACACACACACATACACACACACACACACAATCTCGTAATATGATAAGTAAATTTACAATTTTGTGTTGGGCAGCATTCATAGCTATCCTGGGCCGTATGTGGCCAGTGGGCCACAGGTTGGACACCCCTGGAAGACTTTGGAAATGCTGTGCTACACAAAGGAACTTCTCTGGCAATAAGCTAGCATAAATAATACTGGTGAGCAACATTTTCTTGCCCCAGCCCAGCCTGTGCTTTTTTTTTTTTCCTATATTGGGAAATGTATAATAACAGCTACCAAGAAGCTAAATTAGACAAAAACTCAAATACTTACTGTCGCTGGGGAGGCCCGAGTGGTGTGTGTCACTGAGTGACCAGAATTCTCCATTGAATTGCCAATCAGATAGGTTCCTCCAGAGCTGCTGATGAGTTGTCCTCCCGTGACGCCCATCTGAATCCCTCCAGTGCCCACCATACTGTGGGATGAGACCACAGTCGTCACCTGTGCCGAACTCCCTTGAGTATCAAAGTAATTCCCTCCAGTGTTTTGGCTGTACATCTGTGTTTCTGTGTAAGGATATGTTGTTGTTCGGCTTTAGAAGAAGAAGAAAAAAGAAATTTACTAGCTTATTTATATTATTTAATTTTTTCTAGTGTGTATATATATCTAAAATATATCAATTAGTTTAGCCTTTGAAACTTTAAGGTTTTTTTTTAGTTTTGTATTTTGTATGAAACTTCATTTCCAGAAGTAGTTGAGGTACTTTCCAATGTGAAAAGACATTCCTTTATTAAGTAAGCACTTCAACACTTCTCTGTACCTGAGAGCACCTGCCCTCTACTGTTGTCTACCTCCAGTATATAAATAAGTTCAGGTCTCTTGCCTCCAAAAAATTTTGCTGAGTGACTTCTACAACTCTTTATAAAACTCCCTCAAATCCCAGTTTTAGAAAAGCTGTGTTCTGGCATGTGCGGGGGCTAATAAGTCAACTCCCCATGCTACTTCACCTTTCCGGGTGACTTGCCATAAAACTCCGTGGTTAAGGAAACTTGCATAGATGTCTCTCTTGCCACCACAAGGATCTTGAGCAGCTTAGTCACCTTTCAACCTAAATTCCTATCTGTATCTCTCTCTTCCTCTATACTCAAGGTTCTCCTGGATGGATGACTACCAGAGCTCTTCATGCCCTCCCTTTTCACTTCCCAGCAACTGCAGTAAACCTTCTGCCCTTAGCCTTTCACTGACATTGCTTTTAATAAGGTCACTTGTGGCTAAGTCTAAATACCAAGATGTAAGACTTCTGTCAGTCCTCATCTTTTTTGAACTATCTGCAATATACTGTTGTTGACCACTCCATGTTGCCCTTTCCCTCCTTCTATTCTGATTAAGCTTGTCTGAATTATTTTTCACTTTCAACTGATAACATATTTTAACATGACTTGTTTTTACTTTTTTAAAATAGACTTTATTTTTTAAAGATTTTATTTATTTAGCTTTAAAGAGAAGGAAGGGAGAAAGAGAGGGGGAGAAACATCAATGTGTGGTTGCCTCTTGAACACCCCTTGTTGGGAACCTGGCCTGCAACCCAGGCATGTGCCCTGACTAGGTCAAACTGGCAACCCTTTCATTCCCAGGCCGGCACTCAATCCACTGAGCCACACCGGCCAGGGCCATTTTCACTTTTTAATTTAAGATAATTATATGCTCATGAGAAGTTGCAAAAATAATACAGAACAGTATAAAATACTTTTATGGATAGACCTGGAGATTATTATGCTAAATGAAATAAGCCAGTCAGAGAAAGATAAATACCATATGATTTCATTTATATGTGGAATCTAATGAACAAAATAAACTGATAAACAAAATGGAAACAGAGGCATGGACACATGGAACTGACTGACAGCTGTCAAAAGGGGAAGAGGGTTAGGGGACTGGATGAAAGAAGGTGAAGGGACTAAGCAAAAAACCATATATATATGGTTATATATATATATATATAACATACATACATATATATATTCACACACACATATATGTCTATGATATATATCAATCATAGACACAGATAACAATATGGTGACAGCCAGAAGGAAAGGGGGTGGGTGGTTGGAGGAGGTGAACAAAGCGGGGAAATGGGGGTGGAAAGACACTGCTTAGGGTAATGGGTGCATGATGCAGATTATATCTTATTAACTTGTATACTTGAAACCTTTATGATTTTGTAAACAAAATTCACCCCAATAAATTCAGCAAACATTCAAATATTAAGTTAAAATTCCCAGGTTTCTTTTGTCATTCTCTTCAATCCACATCTCAGAGCTAGCCACTACTGACAATTTAATGTATATGTTTTCAAACATTTTTTATGTATACACAAAGGTCTCTTTCTTAACCTTTCCTGTTCCTTGGTTTCTATGGCATTTCTTTTCCACTTTTTACTTTATCTACCACTACCTTTCAAGAACACTCCAAAGCTCCATTTCTCTGGCATTTTAAACACTGATATTTTCTGAGGCCTCTGTGTTTAGCTTTTATTTTTTCTCATTTTATTCAGACCATGTGCCTTCACCATATACTATATGATCATCATATAGATGCTCACAGTAAACTTTGCATAAGTTAACATCTCCACCTTCTTTACTTTCTAGCTATACTTTAAGAATTTTAAATCTGGGTTTCTAATAGCCACCTGATTATCTCTATGAGGAAATCCTACGAGGAAGTCCCATATATAAAACTTAACAAGCAGTTCCTTACCTCTCTTGTTCTTTTTTCCTGTATTACCCTTCTGAACAAAGAGCAGCACCACCATCCTCAGCTTCAAAATTATTCTTCTTTCCTCACTCAGAATGACATCAGTCACTAAGTCCTACTAATTTTACCTTCTAAATAATTTTCCAATTCTCTTTTCCATTCTCATACTCTATGCATTAACTAATAATATTGTGCACTGTAATTGCCTTCTAGTTGATTTTCCTTCCTCTAATTGGCTCTCTTCCAATCTATAACTGTCCTGCCAGGGGAATTTTTCTAAAATGCAAATATGAAAATAAAACTTGTCTCAAAAACACTTCCATGATTCTCTCTTGCCTGCAGGAGAAATTCAAAACCCTGGCTGACCTTACAGGAGCCAGCAGGGCTGGTGCCTACGTAATCTTCAGTCTTGGTACTAGCCGTGTCCTCAAGTGCTTTTTTCACTCACACCATACTGACCTTTGTGCTGGTTCCCCAAAGTGCCATTTTCTCTTGCCTTCCTGCTTTGTAGCACATGGTTTCTTCTGCCTGAAAGACCTCTACATCTTTCTTTAACTCCTTTCCTATGTCCTCATCATTTATAAACTCTCAGCTCAAGCATCACCTTATCTCCAAATTATTTTTCTGTAGCCCCTCACCCTCTGTGGTAACTCTTCTCAGGGTTGTTTTGCTTTGTTCTCTGTATTTTCCTAATGTATACTCTGTGCAGACCTATAATTCTCAACATACTTATTGTTAAATTCCTCATGTCTTCATAGTCCCATGAAATTATGTTTTATTCCCACCTGTACCTCCAATACTTAACACAGCTGCTGGTATACTGTAGGCACACTAATCAACAGACAAAAATGTGATCTGATATAATAGCTGGTTTCATAAATTTACAAAACATAAATCTTTTGTTTTATTAAAACATGAGAAATTATGCTAAACTATTCAAAAATTTGTAGCATTTAAAACAGGTCGTTTGAACTCATTACAAATTACACTTGTTAAATTTATAATGTAAATTTTAGTACAATAATACTGCTTTGAAAATATTCCACACTGTAATGCATTCCAGAAAGAGCCACTACAGCCGAACCAGATAAATTTTAGCTGGGATGATGACAGAAACAACCCAAGAACATCTTTTAAGGAGAGAAAAAAATGCCATTTTAAATACATATACAGTTCTTTTCTCATCATTGCTCTATTTTCTACTTGTAAGTCTCACCTATATATCTCTTTCATTCTATTTTGATAAAACAAAAGTCATAATGATTTCAAGTTTAGATAAAAAGAAAAAGGAGGTCATTTTAATTTACATCCACTGAATATGACAGTGATCCTATTTGACTATAGTTAAAATAACACAATCTGATGTTGGTACTTAAGTATAGCCAAATAAGGTATATAAATAGATATAAAACAATAAATACTTTGACAGATGCAAGACATGGTACCAGCTTTCATTTTCATAGTCTTAGCAAAATGCTTTGCTTAACCATGCTCCCTAGCACTAAGTTGATTTCATAAACAAAACATATAATAATAACAACAAATGATAGTTAACATACTGACCATTTACTATCCAATAGGCACTATACTATGTGCTCAGATATTAACTCTTTTAATTTTCATGTCAACTCTATGAGATAGGTACTGTTATAATTCCTATTTCACAGGCAAGGTGAAACGGTTGAGTACTTTTGTCCAAAGTAAAAAGCTGGTAAAAAAAAAATGGATGTGGAACCTGCAGTGAGCACATGCTCTCAACCATTTTGTCACATAAAAAGAACTGAACTTTTTATGTGTCAAAGACATTCGTGAATGACTATTGGGGAACAGCCGTAACAGGTGGTACAAGGGGCCATATGAACTTTCTGCTACTACTTTAGATATCCTTACACCTTGGTTCACTGTTTATTGGCCCACCACCACTCTCCTCTCTTACCTAGAATAGGACCTGCAGATGTACTCACAATAGTAAAGAGATAGAAAAGGTGAAACTACTTCAGAGGATACTTATACTATCACATCCCTGGAGTTTTTAAGTTCTATGATCATGGAAGTTGCTTCTCTTATCACAAAAGAAACATTTCAAGGAATTTATATCACTCCATCTTTTGGGCATGCCTCCTTTATGTAATTAGTTCTCAGTGAACATTAGTAATGCAAGCAAATATATCATAAATATATAAAATCTATGTCTGCAGCCCTCAAAGCAGTATAAAAATAGGGCAGCAAAATGCAACCTGCTTTAATTTTCATACTTCTCTCTTGTTGGAGATGATTCATAAGCTACAAAAATGAGCAAAGAACACGACAAGGGTAAAAGTCACTGAAGAGTATGTCTAATCTATAAACTATCCTTATTACTGAGTCAGGACCCATGGGACTGAGAAGGCTTGGCTACTGCATAAACATGCCCTGGGGTAAAGACTGGCAATTTCTGGGGAAGGGAAAAAGGACAATTTTATTAGGAAATGAATTTGTCTCTGACAAATAATGTACACTTGCAATGAGAAATAGAGGAGATTTTAAACACTGGATTGGGTAATGGAGGCAGATCACACTATCTTCAGTCATTGTCCTGTAAAGGTAAGAAGATAAGCAATGACCTATTTGTTGAAGTACTATCGGGAGCAAGAGTCAGAATTATGCACAAAGAACTCCTAAAGATTTTTCCATGGTCTACATGCTTTAAAAACCCTTTAATTAATACTGAAGAATTTATGTGAAAAAAAGAAGCACAACAGCAAAAACAAGCAGCTCTTTCTTAGGTATTAGAAATAATGACTATTTAATTCTGATACCTAAGATTAACTTATTTTTCACAATGCATAATGAATA